GAAGTAGGATTGCCCAACCTTCCTTCAGAGGAGTGGCTGGTGGGTTTGAACCGTCAGCCTTCTGGTTAGCAGTCAAGTGCCTTAGGCACTATGCTACCAGAGCTCCCCAAGTAAGGTATAGTGCATACAAAAGTGGGGTATTACTCAAGCATGAAGAGGATAGAAGTCCTGATACATGCTCAAACAAGGATGAAACTTAAAAACGTTGTGTCAAGTAAAGTGAGTCAGTAACAAAAAGACATATATTGACCCCACTTTTACGCAATATCTAGAATGGGCCATGTGTAGTGATCTGAGTTATTAGTGGTCAGTAGGGATTGGCAGAAGGAGGAAGACAGGATCATTCAATGCTTAGAGGGCACTGAGCTTCTGTAAGGGTGTTGGAAAATTTTGAAGCAGATGAGGGGAATGGTAGAGCAACATAGTGGACATAAGATATGCTACCGTGAAGAATGTTGAAATGGTAAATGTTTTATTACACGTATGTTTACTACATGAAAGAAAAAAAAAAAAACCTCACAGTCCTTATTTACCTCTAAGAAAGAAAGTAAAGAAATTAAAAATCAATGGGTCAAGAAATTTATTTTTGATTATTGTGAAAAAGCACTAAAAATTCAAGATTGTGTTAATAAAAAATGTTTTCTTTGTAGGTAATATATTAGCAATCACACTAAATACATGGAGAATAAGAACAATGTAACAGAGTTTGTTCTACTGGGACTTACAGAAAACGCAAAAATGCAAAAAATCTTATTTGCTGTGTTCTTAGTCGTCTACATCACCACTGTGGTAGGAAATGTGCTCATTGTGGTCACCGTCACCACCAGCCCATTGTTGGGATCCCCCATGTACTTTTTCCTGGCCTGTCTCTCCTTTATTGATGCTTGCTATTCCTCTGTCACTACCCCTAAAGTGATTGTAGATTCACTTCGTGCAAGGAAAACCATCCTATTCAATGGATGTATGACTCAAATGTTTGGAGAACATTTATTTGGAGGTGCTGAGGTCATTCTTCTTACTGTGATGGCTTATGACCGCTACATAGCCATCTGCAAGCCCTTGCACTACACAACCATCATGAACCGGAGAGTGTGTGTCCTGCTAATGGGAGTCTCATGGGTGGGAGGCTTTCTTCATGCCATCATACAGATCTTTTTCATGTTTCAATTACCTTTCTGTGGCCCTAACATCATAGATCACTTTATGTGTGATCTGAACCCTTTGCTTAAACTTGCCTGCACTGATACCCACATTCTAGGGCTGTTTGTTGCTGCCAACAGTGGATTCATGTGTTTGTTAATATTTCTCCTCTTGCTGGTCTCCTATGTGGTCATCTTGTACTCCCTAAGGAACCACAGCTTAGAGGGGAGGCACAAAGCCCTCTCAACTTGTGTTTCCCACATCACAGTGGTTGTCTTATTCTTTGTGCCCTGCATATTTGTGTATGTCAGACCTGTAGTCACTTTACCTGTTGATAAAGCAGTTGCTGTGTTCTATACAATCATAAGTCCCATGATGAATCCCTTAATCTATACTTTCAGAAATGCCCAGATGAAGAGTGCCATTATGAAATTGGGCAGTAGGAAAACTAGTTCAGGTGATAAATAAATATCCCTAGATTCTAACAATAATTCAATTGAGGAGAGGATCAAAAGGAAATTTACAAGGATTCCGGAAGATACATATAGTATAAAGAAAAAAAGTCTTTATAATTTATATGTTTTGCATTTACCAGATTAGAAATAGGTGCAAAAAAAGTCAGTGAAAAGGAACCTGGGGTATTCTTCTCACCCTTGAAAATTTTAGCAAATTAGAATTTATTTTACTAAAATAATCCATTTCAACAGATGCATAAGCTTTCCCTTTAATAAAAATGAAAGATACAACAAAAGTTGCTGGTGTTCAGCAAAGGTATCTATAAAAACTGCAAAGAGACCCGCACTTCTATTGTCTCCTTTTACAGGAAAGGAACTTAGAGAAGCAGGAATGTCCCAGGCAGACATGATGCAAAGTCAGGACCCACAATGGGAGTGATTTCACTGATCATGCTCTTAATTGTTATTATATATTGTCAAGCAATGAT